TTTTTTATAAATTATAATATTTTTTTATAAATTATAATATTTGGTGCAGTTGAAGTTTTTAAAGTAAAAAAGATAACCTAACATAGCCTAAATTAGATCAACCTTATGTAAAGCCTTTTGGTGGAGATCAAATGAGATAAACATTACGTACCCCAGGCCCAAGATTGGACCCAGGATGGCTAGACTGAAAATTGATTTTGGACTCTAAATTATGTCTGCCCAATGTGCTTTTAGCCCGAGCCTGCTATATTTCCTGGAAAAACGTTCGAAGTAGTCCCTGAACTTACATCCTTTCACAATTAATCTCTTTAAATTCAATTCCTTTTGATAAAGGCCCCCAAGTCAAAAATCTGACTTGTTTTTTTTGGATAAAAGCCAACCAAATACTTCCAAAATGATACACGTATAATATATTTTTCACAGTAACTTATATACTTAGACATGATATTTTATTATTATTCTTTTTATTTAAAAATTATATGTAAATTGATACATGTTCACTTTTTTATGTCAAAACATATTATATATAAAAAAATAATAAACTCACAACATTTGCATATAAGATAAAATTTCCTTTTGGTCCCCTTATTTTAACAAAAAATTCATTTTAATCCCTCAACTTAAAAAAATCCCTTTTTAACATTTAAACTTTATTATCTGATTTTTTTTAGTTCCTTTGTTATTATTTTTTTATATATGTGGTATATTAGATAATAAAAATTTAAAATAAAAAAAACTAAAAAATAGTTTTTTTTAGTGTATCTATTTTGAAATTTTCTTCATCTAACATATTACATATGTGAAAAAATAACAAAAACACTAAAAAACAGTTGAATAATAAACTTTAAACACTAAAAAAAAAAAGACCTTTCTTAAATAAAGGGATTAAAAAATAACCATTTATTAAAATAAAAAGATTAAAATGGAATTTTAACCATGCATATACTTAACTCATTAACATACCATCAAAAATAAAATTAGAAAAAACTTCTAATTTATTTTGTTCCACAATTTCTATTAAAAACTTTTAAAAGATATAAAAATTTTACAATTTATTATACATAAATTACAAATTATTTTTCTAATTTTAAAAATCGAAACTTCAAATTTAAAAACTTTCTCTTAAGAGAATAAATTTTAAAAACATAACTTCTTTTTACATGTTGACCAAAGTATTTTTAAAAACACATTTTCGTGGCATGAATTTTTTTATTTTTATTTATTTTTAATTATTATTATTATTATTTATTTGGCTACGGAGGTGCCGCGTAAATCACCATTTTAACACTGAAATAATAACCAGCAAATCACCCATCACTCGCCAAAAATTTCCTGGCGCTCAGAGTCCACCCTCACTCAATCTTCCCTCCCGCCAGTCCCTAACTACTGCTATTTCATTTCATCACCACCTCCATTCCCGCCATGGAACTTCTCCATTCCGCCTCCCGATTCTCCACCGTCCGATGCATCATCACCCGCCATCACTCGCCCACTCCTCGCGGACGATTCTTCGCAGTAAGGTTCTTCTCTTAGATCTACACTTGAATTCTATTTCACTTTCATCTTCTAGATTTGCTCTATCTTTACTATTTTCTTTTCGTTTCATGGAATTACAGATCGAGTCTGCCTTTCTCAAATGAGAAAGCTAAATACCACAAAGAGCTTGAAGCTGCAGTGGCCGTCGTGGAGAAAGCTTGCCGTATCTGTGTTGATGTAATTCTTTTTTAAATGCAGATTTG